GATACTCAGTTGTCTTGTAAAAGGTAGAAAAGCATCAGAAATATTGTTCCATGGTCTAGTTTGTGCTTCTGTCTGGCCATTACTCTGCGGGTGATAAGAGGAAGACAGGCAAACTTCAATTTCCAAGGCCCTGCAGAGAGCTCTCCAGAATCCGAAGGGGCAAATCCACAAAAAAAAAACAAAAACCATGGATATCACCTTTCAAAGATGTTCTGGGACTGGCAAAGGTCTTAACAATCCCAAAGCTTGGGTGCAACTACCTTTGCTATGGAGACAGGCTGTACAGGAACGTACATAGTCCTTGCAGTCTTGTTTTAGGTTAGGCCACCAGAATGATCGCTGAGCAAGTTCAGCTGTCTTATGGACTCTAAAATGTCCAGCAAGCTGATGGCCATGGAAGGTTTTGAGAACCTTAAGTCTAGCTCCCTGGGGTTCAAAGATTTTGCCTCTGTGCCACAGAACTCCCTCCTGTTCTCTGAGCGAAACAGTCTCAGAATCAGAGCACGCTGCAGAAGCTTGTTTGATCTATTTCTATAGATCAGGTTGGATCATCAGAAAATTCAGAAAAGACAGAATAGTGCTGGGAGCGGCAGCCTCAGGAGTCTCTGGAAACATGCGTGAAAGGACATCTGCCTTCCCATTCTTGGACCCCGGACGGTAAGTAATGTGAACGTTGAACCTAGATAAGGTCTGCCATGGTCTTAAAGGTTTGGCAGATCTGAGATAATCCAGGTTCTTTATATCCGTGAATATCATGATGGGGTGAGCTGTGCCTTCCAGTAAATACCTCCACTCTTCCAATGCAGCCTTTATGGCCAACAGTTCTCAGTCACTCACATCGTAGTTTTTACTGCGTTAGCTCATTTTGTGGGAAAACAAGGCTACTGGGTGAAGTAATGCCTTGGCCCCTTGGCGTTGAGACAAGACTGACCTTTTGGCAACTTATGAAGCATCAACCTCCAAGAAATAAGGCAGAGTTGGGTTTGGATGTTTCAGCACTGGAGCTGAAGTAAACAGGGCCTTTAGCTTGTCTGCTTTTCTTGCTGCTTGGACTTCCTGAGACTACTGAAACCAGGCGTGTTAGTGAGTTAATTGGGTACTCAAGGCAATGCTAGAGAAGTCCTTAATAAATCTTCGATAAATATTGGCAAACTCCACGAACCTCTGGATACCCTCCTTATGAGTGGGAGCTGGCCATTTGAGAATAGCAGACACCTTCTGTGGATTCCTGGCTATTCCATCAGTGGATATGATCAAGCCCAAGAATTGTATGGACACTCTTTCAAATTTGCACTTCTCTGCTCTTGCATAAAATCTGTGTTTCTGTAGAGTGGACAGAATCTTCTTGACATGGATTCTGTGTAGTCCCAAGGTGGCAGAAGAGATGAGGATATCGTCTAAGTAGACAATCAGGATATTGTCCAGGAATTCTCTAAAAATATTGTTTACATAAAAATGCTGGAAAGTAGCCAGGGCATTACATAGTCCAAAGGGCATAACAAGATATTCAAAGTGCCCAAAGCGAGTTCTGAAAACCGTCTTCCATTCATCTCCCTCAAACAAAGGTTGTAAGTGCCCCATAGTTTCAGTTTAGTATAGATTCTGGGGTATGGAACCTCTGAAATAGCTCAGGAATGAGAGGAAGATTAGAGTCCTATAGACTTCTATTAGACCATCTCCTTTCATCTCGGGGCTTGGGAAAAAGCCCCGTAGAAGTCTGTGGGGCTGTAATGGACAAGCATTGCCAGGAGAGTGAAGATCTAAGGATCTCTGCAATGCTAAATACTCCAAAGATACTTAGCATCAAAAGAACAGCAAATAAGGTAGAGGTCAGATAAAACCTACTTGACATTTTTATTTAAATTACATTTGGGAACTTTTGAAAGTACAACCTAACATCACATTTGATGATGTGCATTTACATTTTAGAATTTTAAGCTATCATTTCCTTTTCATGTATTGGTAATGCTCCACAGCTTTGTAGAAAATCCGTCTGCTTTACTTTTAAGTTTAGAGAGAATGTGTAGTCTTTTTCAATGATTTTTTAATCTGCATGTAAAAAAAAAAAAGATCAACTTGAAATAAGTGTTATCGATGTCCGTTATGGTTTTAAAGAACTTTCTATGTGTGATTTACAATTATACAGTATATGTACATGGGGTGCACCACCCATATGGAAGAAAAATATATTTGAAATATATTTAAAAATATTCTTCCCAAATATATTACCATATATTTGAAATGCTACAATTTTGGCCATATTCAATATATTTCAATAAATAAATAATATATATATATATATATATATATATATATATATATATATATATATTGCAAGTTGAAATGCATTTTTATTACAAAATATATGAAAAATATTAGAAAAAATACATTTCAAACATACATGTCTTTAAAAATACAGATCTACATTTTTGGAATGCATTTACAAATATATGTAAAAATATATGTTAAAATGACTTTTTTATATGTATATACATTTCAAATATATATTTTTAAATACATTCTTCAGATTTGTTTAACATATAAAAAAGTCATTTTTACATATATTTTTAAATGCATTCCAAAAATGTAGATTTATATTTTTAAAGACATACAGTATATTTGAAATGTGCAACATGCAGTATATACAGTATATTCATATTTATTGAAATATATTTTGAAATCTATTGAATATGGCCAAAATTGTAGCATTTCAAATATATTGTAATATATTTGGGAAGAATATTTTAAAATATTTCAAATATATTTTTCTTCCATGTGGGCATATTTATTACATACACAGGCTCTGCTTCCTGCCTTGCAATACTACACAATAGCATTGCTTTACTTCTGGTTTTCACAATGCAAGGATATGAATCAGCCGGTAAACAATAAAATCGTTGATACCTATAGTCTGCCTGTGAGACTGACACCTTATCTCAACATTTGTTTAATAAACTGTCTTTTTACCATTGCAGGTCAAAGTGACAGAGAATCTGAAAATAGATAGTAATTATCACTATCAATTTTCTGCTATACACTGCAGTAATACTCCACACCGCAGAATGCATTTTACCAGCCATCCATAACATGTAGGCTACAGTATGAAGTCGGTGGTATTATATCCAAAAGAAGAAACTGCAGACTTTATAGGTGCCATTCAAAAATAAATTAACCTGTACATTAAAAATTACTTTTTATTATTATTATCATTTAAGAAGTACAAATATTCCCAAAATGGCAAGATAAAATAAATAAAATAGGAGGAAATAACATGGAGATACAGTCACTGTAGCACCTTAATCACAGATTGGAATTATCCAGCACTCATTAGCCATAGTAAACCACTGGTATTATAATAATGCCTTGTAGACTAACTCCAGCTTTGCTATCACCACTTAAGGACCAAGCCTTTTTTGACACGGTTTGTCTACAAGTAAAAATCTGTATTTTTGCTAGAAAATTATTTAGAACCCCCAAACATTATACATTTTTTTTAGCAGAGGATCTAGAGAATAAAACGGTGGTCATTGCAATTTTTTTATGTCACATGTTTTTTGTGCATCGGTTTTTCAAATGCAATTTTTTTGCGTTTTTATGAATATAAAAAAAAAACACAATATATACCTACCTTTTTTGTTAAATATGAAAGATGATGTTATACTGAGTAAATAGATACCTAACATGTCATGCTTTAAAATTGCTCATGCTCGTGGAATGGCGCCAAGCTACGTTACTTAAAAATCTACATAGGCGATGCTTTAAAAATTTCTACAGCTTACCAGTTTAAAGTCACACAGGAGGTCTAGTGCTAGAAGATAACAATACAGCATGACAGGTCCACTTTATAGAGAGATTTGAGGTCGAAAACAAATTGATCTTATGCTTTAAAAAAATATGGCATTGTTGACGTGCCCCTGGAACTGGAAATGACATCATGATGTTACTCTTTTTCTCCTATGCCATAGAGTTGGGTGAAGGCCATCTTTCCTTCACTTATCTCTGTTCAGCTGCCACCAGTGCTGAATTGGTTCCCAAAGCTACTGATCGTCCAGGTAATCCTGTGAACCACCAGAAAGTGGTGGGAAGGGGGAAGGCTTCTAAAAGCGATCCTAACAGAAAGTCTGGTGCCTGAGGGAAAAATTAATATGGCATCTAGTTGCAGCCATAACTCCAGTATTAAACATCAAAGTCATAATGTATTTTCCCAGTTAGGCGGTCGACAAGTGGTATATTTTGTTTGGCCCAAGCTGGCCAAAACAAATTGTTTCTTTACTATATGTTGTGCCCACTGTCAAGTGCTGTATAAAACTGTATCAGCATATACAGTGCTTTGTTTTGGCAGTGGTGTAAGCACTCCCCTTCCTGTCCATGGAAGAAAGAGGAAAAGGAAACTGTTTGTTGGGGCCAGCTTGGCCCAGACTGACTATTAACCGCTTGCCTACAGGGCACTTATACTCCCTTCCTGCCCAGGCCAGTTTTCAGCTTTCAGCACTGTTGCACTTTGAATGACAATTGCGCTGTCATGCAACACTGTATCCATATGAAATTGTTATAATTTTTTTTGAGACAGATAGAGCTTTCTTTTGGTGGTATTTAATCACCTCTGGGTTTTTTATTTTTGCTAAACAAACCAAAAACAACAGAAAATTTTGAAAAAAAAACCCACGTTTTTCTTAGTTTTAGTTTAAAAAGTTTGTAAATAAGTGATTTTTCTCCTTCACTGATGTGCGCCAATGAGGCTGCAGTGATGGACACTAATAGGCTGCACTGATGGGCACTGATAGGTGGCACTAATGGGCACTGATGAGGAGGCACTGGTAGATGGCACTGATGGGCATTGACAGGCATCACTGATGGGCACTGAAAGGCAGCACTCATATATGGCACTGATAGGCAGCACTGATAGGTGGCACTGATAGGCAGCACTGACGGGCACTGATAGGCGGCACTGATGCGCACTGATAGGCGGCACTGATGCGCACTGATAGGTGGCACTGACTTCCATTGATAGGTGGCACTAACTGGCACTGATAGGTGACACTGAAAGGCAGCTCAGATGGGCATTGATATGTGGCATTGATGTGCACTGGTAGGCACTGATATGTGGCACTGATGGGCACTGATGGGCACTGGCAGGTGGCATTGATGGGCACTGACAGCTGGCATTTATGGGCACTGACAGGTGGCACTGCTGGGACTACACTGATCATCAGGACACACTGATCATCAGTGCCCTGATGATCAGTGTACAGGTCCCCTCCGAGGAATGCCGATTACCGGCTCTCCTCGTGAGCTGTCAGCGTGACAGCTCGTGAGGAGAGAAATGCTGATAACCAGCATTTCCCTATTTGCATGCGATCAGCTGTGATTGGACACAGCTGATCACATGACCAAGCCGACATCTTCAGCTCTTTCCATTGATCGGTTATCCGCTGTGTCCTAGGGACACAGCGCATCACCAATCGCTGCGCGCTCCCGGAGCCGCGCATGCGTGTTTAGAATGGGAGTACGTCATATGATGTCCTCCCAGAACGAGAGAACCACCTTGTGCCCGTCATTACCTTGTATGGCGGATGGGAGGTGGTTAAAGTCCTTTTACCTAGCCTTCAGAACAAAGGCTGCATGCAGCCCTTTGGTACTTTTTGTGCAGCCCCAAGGCTCCTGTAGACACTACTCCATGTCCCCCTATTGCCCTGTTAAAGCAGTGATCTCTAGCACTCTCATATAATGTGTCTCCAGCATATGACTCTGTCAGGGAACATTGAATGATTATTTAACCTGGCTATATTGACCATTTAATCGATCGATGAACAACAGTGTCTCTAATTAAAAAAAATAATTTATACAAACAAATTAAGCTGACTAATAATTATTTTTGAGATTCTTTGCTCATGCAGAAATTCTTTGATAAACACAATAAAATCAGGTGTACATATGGACTGCAGATTATAAAATAAAATTTATTTTACAATAAGTTTCTTATAAATTCAATAATTCATTTACCCTTGTAGACAGCATAACCATTTATAACCTGGCAGACAATAAGCGTTTTACGGATTTCGACTGTTATTCTCCTGCAGAAAGAAAAAGATGGCTACCGATCAACGGGTAGAGTCTGTCTTCCCAAAATGACATGTAGCTAAGCAGGAGTAGTGTGTCCTGGCGTCAGTGAAGTGTGTCAGATGATGAGTCTTTGGATCTTCAATAAGATGTGTGATGCTCTCCTATAGATGATGGGTGTGTGATGTCTGATCTGTCTCTTGATGATGAGGTGTGATCCCTATCTGTCTAACTGACTTGCTATTTATTCAGTGAAAACATTGCCTCAGAAACCTCTGTCCAAGAGCAGTGTTGCCAACCCCCCAAAGTGATATTTACTGATAGTATGCCCAAAATTTACAAACAGCACCATTATTTTACTGACAAAAATGATGAAATTTACTGACAGAGCCACATTTTTTAAAATGACTGCTTTCAGTGCAAAACAGTGCAATTATCAATATTTAGGCTACACACATGTAATTAGTGCTATTAGCAATATGGTTAGGGTGTGACAAAAAGGCAAAAAACACATTCCTCCATTTACATGAAGATTAGGTTAATAGAACCCAGGGTCCCCCTTTTACAGTTCCCCTTTTACAGTGCAAGGGGATCTCTGTGGACTCTGAGGAAAAAGGGAACACAATGGACACTGATGCAATGGAGAACTCTGGGGACTCTGATGTACTGTAAGCGGGAATGCTGTGGACTCTGGTGTAAAGGGAATCTCTGATGTAAGGGGACTTCTGGTCACCCAAGCACCCCCCCCCCCTTACACAAGAGTCCACAGAACTCATCTTTACATTACAGTCCATAGAATTCCATATTACATCACAGTCCACAAAGTTCTCCCCTACATCAAAGTCCAGAGCTCCCTCTTACAGTGCACTGGCAATAAAGACTCTGATGTAAAGGGGAACTTGAAGGACACTGATTCAAAGGGGAACACTTGGAGCTCTGATGTGGGGACGACGACTCTAGAGACCACAGACCACCTTCCGCAGACTTAGCACCACTTGTCTGCATCTCTATAACACCACTCCTCTGCATTTCCAATAGCACTACTCCTTTCTCTGCGTTCCCTCATTCCAAATCCCAATAGCACTGCTCCTCTGCATTCCCCCATTCCCATTTCCAATAGCACTGCTCCTCTGCATTCCCCAGTTCCCAATTCCAATAGCACTGCTCCTCTGCATTCCCCCATTCCCAATCCCAATAGCACTGCTCCTCTGCATTCCCCCATTCCCATTTCCAATAGCACTGCTCCTCTTCATTCCCCTATTCCCAATCCCAATAGCACTGCTCCTCTGCATTCCCCCATTCCCAATTCCAATAGCACTGCTCCTCTTCATTCCTCCATTCCCAATCCCAATAGCACTGCTCCTCTGCATTCGCCCGTTCCCAATTTCAATAGCACTGCTCCTCTGCATTCCCCCGTTCCCAATTCCAATAGCACTGCTCCTCTGCATTCCCCCGTTCCCAATTCCAATAGCACTGCTCCTCTGCATTCCCCCATTCCCAATCCCAATAGCACTGCTCCTCTTCATTCCCCTATTCCCAATCCCAATAGCACTGCTCCTCTGCATTCCCCCATTCCCAATTCCAATAGCACTGCTCCTCTTCATTCCTCCATTCCCAATCCCAATAGCACTGCTCCTCTGCATTCGCCCGTTCCCAATTTCAATAGCACTGCTCCTCTGCATTCCCCCGTTCCCAATTCCAATAGCACTGCTCCTCTGCATTCCCCCGTTCCCAATTCCAATAGCACTGCTCCTCTGCATTCCCCCATTCCCAATCCCAATAGCACTGCCCTCTGCATTCCCCTATTCCCAATCCCAATAGCACTGCTCCTCTGCATTCCTCCATTCCCAATCCCAATAGCACTGCTCCTCTGCATTCCTCCATTCCCAATTCCAATAGCACTGCTCCTCTGCATTCCCCTATTCCCAATCCCAATAGCACTGCTCCTCTGCATTCCCCCTGTTCCCAATATCATCCCTCCTCCCTCCTCTAACTATGTTAGTTTACCTGAAAATATAAAATACCTTTGAGGGTCTGGCAACCTTTGAATTTGTGATACTTTATCTTTTGGTATACTACCATCTACACATGAAATCTTATCTTCAATGATGTGTAAGTTCATGACTAGTTATCCATAATTAACATATTGATGATATACATAAGGAAATAAAATAATTTGCATGTTTTAAACTACTATTGGAGTATGAGTACATCATAACACTCACATAAACAATATTGATAATAAACACAAAGAACAATACTAATATGATAATGTTACGGCTGAGTCCTTTTTGGATAAGATGATGTTTTGTAATAGATATGTACACTCACCAGCCACTTTATTAGGTACACCTTGCTAGTGCCATGAAAATATCCCCCCACACCATTATACCACCAGCCTGAATGATTGATACAAGGCAGGATGGATCCATGCTTTCATGTTGTTTACACCAAATTCTTACCCTACCATCTGAATGTTGCAGCAACCAGTCTGCCCATTCTCCTCTGACCTCGGATCTCAACAAGGCGTTTCCGTCCACACAACTATCGCTCACTGCATATTTTCTCTTTTCTGGACCATTCTCTGTAAATCCTAGAGATGGTTGTGTGTGAAAATCTCAGTAGACCAGCAGTTTTTGACACACTAAGACCAGCTTGTCTGGCACCAACAACCATTCCATGTTCAAAGCACCAACAACCATACCACGTTCAAAGTCACTTAACTCCCCTTTCTTACACATTCTGATGCTCAGTTTGAACTTCAGCAAGTCATCTTCACCACATCTACATGCCTAAACGTATTGAGTTACTGCCATGTGATGAGCTGATCAGCAATTTGTGCTACCAAGCAATTGAACATTTGTACCTAATAAAGTGGCTGGTGAGTGTGTATGTATATGTATATGTGTGTATATTATTATTATTATACAGGATTTATATAGCGCCAACAGTTTGCTCAATGCTTTACAATATAAACGGGAGACAATACAGCAACAATATACACCTATATACAGGTGAAACTCAAAAAATTAGAATATCGTGCAAAAGTTAATTTATTTCAGTAACGCAACTTAAAAGGTGAAAGGGTGTCAATGATGGTTTTCTGCACAACTGTCAGGTCAGCAGTCTTTCCCATGATTGTGATTCCTACTGAACCAGACTGAGAGACCATTTAAAGGCTCAGGAACCCTTTGCAGGTGTTATGGCTTAATTATCTGATTAGAGTGGGACACTTTGAGCCTAGAATATTGCACCTTTTCACAATATTCTCATTTTCTGAGATTGTGGATTTGGGGTTTTCATGAGCTGTAAGCCATAATCATCACAATTATGACAAATCACGGCTTGAACTATCTTGTGTAATGAGTCTATCTCATATATTATTTTCACCTTTTAAGTTGCATTACTGAAATAAATGAACTTTTGCACGATATTCTAATTTTTTGAGTTTTACCTGTATATATTACAACTGTGTCATAAGGTTTTAACCTTGTGACTTGCAATATACTGTAGTCCATGAAATCAACTTACTCTATATGAGTAATGTGACCTGTAGAACGTTTGCAAGTATTTCATTTCTTTTTGTAGGCTTTCTCTATTGTTTATAGACAAGGTTAGCTTGTTCTGGGTAAATAGAAAGTAATATATATTGTTTTTTTTTCTCCCTATAACACTGGCCTATGTTTGCTGTGTTCAAGGCTTGTCAAACATAGAAAGTAAATTAAAGTGGAGCTCCACCCAAAAGGGGAATTTCTGCTTTAAGGACTAGTCCTCTTCTCCTCTCAAAGAATTGGCACTTTTGAGGAGGGGGGGTACCCGATTTTGACAGGTAGCCGCTCCCACTTCCACTACGATGCTCTCCCCCCCCCCCCCCCCTTCACACAGTCTTCTAGGACATGAGACAGGTCCCACAAGACGGCGGGGCCATTCACAATGTGCAGCGCTGCTCATGTATGCACAATGGCCACCTGGCTGTGAAGCTACAAGCTGTCACACAGTGCCCACAGTGCCCACAGTTAAGATGCAGGTGCTGAGGAAGGAAGACAGTAGGTGAAATTGGCTGTGGTGAGCACATCGCTGGATCCTTGGACAGGTGAGTGGCTGGTTTTTAAAAGTCAGCAGCTACAGTTTTTGATTTTTTTCACAGGAGACTGGGCAACTGCTTTAATGGAGAGGGTATTTTCTATATATAGTTTCAGTTTAGGAAGATGTTTACTGATCAGCATGGCCCATTGTTCAAAGAATGGCTGTAGTTTTGTCACCATTTGCTCTGTATACATTTTGTTTGCAGAACTTCTCCATCTGGACAAACAATTGCATGTTGTACAGCTGAGTCCGTGAGATGACCCTGTAATTTGGGATTATTTGAAATTTGGTCTCATAGATCA